AGACTCTCCTCTCATCCCCACCCTGAGTGTCACAGGGGGGCGGGGGTGGCGGGGAGACTCCTCCTGTCCCCAGACACCTGTGAAACGAAGAGGACCACAGTGGTGCCAGGCCCGCGAGTCCCCTGCCCTGCTTTCCCCAGTCTTTCCCCAAGGAATGGGAGAAGCCTCCACTTCCCAGCTCACCCCACCCCTCAGCTGGTGTCAGCTGGGGATGGAGCAGGTGTCCAGCCAGGCCTCGGGGATGTCTAATCTCCTACAATTCCTGACACAGGAGGGGGCGGGTGTGTGTCTATTCCTGACATAGTGCGTATTCCTGTATACAGCCTGTTATCTGCTCACGTTCCTGTACTCATGACAGGGCAGATATTCAAAGCACAACATGGATCTGTTCACGACAGAGTCAGGAGCTGCACCTGTGCCTTTTTATTTATATTCATCATCACTTCGTTGCACCCACATTCCTGTCGTGTGTAGGAAGCTACGTCTTCCCCTTGAGTGTCTGAGACACGGATGCCTGAGCATCACACTCTCTTCACAGTGTCCTGGGGACATGCGGCTCCACCCACCACCACTTTCTTTGTCTCTACAACAAGGGGGTGGGGCTTGACCCGCACTGTGCATCCTGGAGCCGAGGGCTGACGCATTTGTGCTTTCTGGGCTGGCATCGTACCCTCCCCGGTGTGCCTGGACAGCATCTATGAGCGGGTGTGTCTGCGAATGGACGTGGGCTCCTGGGAAGGGAGTGTTTGCATGGATCTGCTGGGGGCTGGGGGAAGTGAATAGTTGCCAGCCAATGCACTTATCTCTTAATGGTGCAAAAATAAGCACCTTTTCCTTTTTTGAGACAAAGTCTCACTTTGTCGCCCTCGACAAAGAGTATAACAACACTCTTGAGTTCTGTGGCATCGCAGCTCACAGCAACCTCCAACTCTTGGGCTCAAGTGATCCTCTTGCCTCCCATCCTCCAAGTAGCTGGGACTACAGGCGCCCACTACAATGCCCAGCTATTTTTAGAGACAGGGTCTCACTCTTGCTCAGGCTGGTCTCGAACTCCCGAGCTCAGGCAATCCACCCTCCTCAGCCTCCCAGAGTGCTAGAATAAGTTCTTTTTCTTAATAAAAAGCAGCACGCTTAGTAACAGGGTGATCTGTCACAGCCCTGGCGGGGGGCGGGATGGAGGGTTACTATCACACTGTAACACCTGGGCAACCTTTCATCCACGGCCCTGGGTTGACCCCCACCCGCACTGACAGGAATTTCCAGAGCAAAATATTGGAGCCACTTGAATGCCTCTTGTGGGACATGAGTGGAGTGTGTTTGAAGTGTGGCACTCGCCATCTATGTATGCAGCTGGAGAGACAGCGAAAGGGACTCATGTGAATAGCTTGGGAAGGTCCCCAAGGGTTATTGCTAAAACAAGCCTGCTGGCCAGGCCTCCGTCAGTGTAAACCTGGAGGCCAGGGCCCCGTCTGGGCACAGGTGGAGGTCCGAGAGGTGTGTGTCAGGTGACCCATGTGGGCCCAGCAGAAAAGACCCTGCAAAGAGAGGGAACAAAACAGGAAGCGGCACAATGGCACACGTTGTGGCAGGTACGGAGGCCAGAAGTCACCTCCATGAGGAAACTGCAGCAGCTGGAAGCGACTGTGGGAGCAGCTGCCCTGGAACTAAATGTTCACACACTTCGGGGGTTGTTTTTATTGATTGTTCTGGCTTAGAATACTTTGGATTTTAAGAACAACTAATAGCTCACTTGCTTTTGAATCACATGCATCACTGGCCTGTTTCTGAAAACCAGCATTCATTTGCTCCAGGCATCGTTTTGTAGTTCAGGAAGTTCAGACCCCGAGTCTGTTGCTCCCTGGGCCGTGGTCACCAAGAAATCACCAGTCAGGAATACCTTCTTCATCCCCCTGACCCGGCCTAGACTCCCCATCCCGAAAGCTCCTCACACCTGCCCTTTCTCCACCCAGAGCCCCCCCTGAGTCCCTGTTTCCGCCACAACCGCTGGCGTGTCTGCTGTGACCAGCGTCCCCTGCTGCAGTGGCAGCAACTCCAGGCCCCTCACCAGGACAGGGCCCTGGTGCCTTGGTGGGAAGCCAGCGGCCCGTCCCCACTGCTGCCC